TGTCTTCCAGTCTAACTCCCAAGCCTCTACGGTAAAGCCTTCCTGAGTCTCTCAGTCTGTGTTCCAGCCTCTCCTCCCCACCCTCCCTGACACAACATTTGTGAGTATGTGTGTACTGAAGTGCTAACTCATGCGGATCCGCAACTGGCATTCCAGCTCCTTGAGGGAGTCTCCAGGGGCTCACTCCACTTTCTGCTCCAGCCCATGTTCTTCCCACCCTGCTGGCTCAACAAGAGCCCTCGGTCTTTCTCGGTGTCTCTCGGTCTCTCTCCGTCACTGCCCCAGCTGTCTTCACTGAATGCCAGTCACTGAACTGAGTTCGTGTCCTGACTTTACTGCTGACCGATCTGGGATCCCGGACAGGTTACCTCATTCCTTATGCCTCAGTTTCGTCATCTGTTAAAAGGTCTTAAAAGATTGATGTGAGGACTGAATGATACTGTGTACTGAAAGTACATGTTAACTATTATACCATTTATATTTACTTTTTATGTATACAAAACTTTATATTTTAAAATCTGTCTTTGAAAATTCCAGAGTCCTTTTTATCTTGCACCCAGAGATAAAAATTTGCTTCAATAACTACAAGAAGAGACTGACCTATCCTTGGGCTCTCAGTGACCTGAGACTATTCCAGTAAGAAAAAGGAATTCCTGCCATCCCCTTTCAGCTCAAACCACAGATTAGGCTTTTAGAAATCCATAAAATATTTAGCACAGGTTTGCTACAGCAGACTTGCCATAACTGGCCAACATTTTTATGAGTGGATCAATGTAATTATTTATAACATCAAAGGGCAGGGCTTTATGAGGCTACTTGAACTGAAGGAAGGGGGAAGTGTGGAGATTTAATGGTGAGTCTGAATGTTAGAAATTTGAGGAAAAAGTACTCTTTTTTTTTTTTTCTAGTGTTCTTTTTTAATTTTTTTTATTTTTCCTAGTGTGGGAACCGCTGTCCCCTGTTTCCTCTCCTCCTCTCACCTGGTTGCAACACATTCCTGTAATTCCAGAAACAGCAAACCATTTATCAGTACTCTTACCCCAAGCAAAGTACCAGAGATAGACCCTGCATCTAGATAATGCTAAGCAAGCTTTTCACGTTTTTCTCTTCCTGATATCAGCTTTTCCCATGAAACTCTGAAAAATATCGCAAGCACTCCCAGCAGAATCACCAACTCCCAAACCACAGAAACAGTCCAGAATTGGGAGGAGGCAAGAAGGAGCTGCGGGAAGGAATTGAGAGCTCCTGTAATAAAGAGCCGCTAGACCGAGCGCAGGGTCATGCCTGAAACCCTAGCACTTTGGGAGGCCGAGGTGGGCCAATTGCTTGAGCTCAGGAGTTTGAGACCAGCCTGGGCAATGTGGCAAAACCTCATCTCTACCAAAAAAAAAAGAAAGAAAAAAGAATTAAAAAAAAAGAGAGAGAAATAAAAAAATAAAACAGAAAAAAAAAACTTCATCTCTACAAAAAATATAAAAATTAGCCGGGTGTGGTGGTACATGGCTGTGGTCCCAGCTACTCGGGGACTGAGGCAAGAGAATTGCCTGAGCCCAGGAGGCTGAGGCTGCAGTGAGCCGTAATTACACCACTGCACTCCAGCCTGGGTGACGGCGAAACTCTGCCTCAAACAAATATATAGACATAAAATGAGGAGCTGTAACGATGAACTGTGTCCCCCAATATTTCATGCATTAAAGTCCTAACCCCCAGCCCCTAAGAATGTGGCTATCTGGAGATGGGATCTTTGAGGAGGTAATTTTTTTTTTTTTTTTCCAAGAAATCAGGGCCTGCCAGGCATGGTAGCTCATGCCTTTAATACCAGCACTTTGGGAGACCAAGGAAAGGAAGATCACTTGAAATCAGGAGTTTGAGACCAGCCTGGCCAACATGGTGAGACCCTGTCTCTACTAAAAATACAAAAATTAGCTGGGCATTGTAGCACACTCCTGTAATTCTAGGCAATAGGGAGGCTGAGGCAGAAGAATTGCTTGAACCCAGGAGGCAGAGGTTCAGTGAGCAGAGATCTTGCCACTGCACTCCAGCCTGGTGACGCGAGTAAGACTCAATCTCAAAAAAAAAAAAAATTTAAAAAAAAGAAAAGAAATAAGGGCTGGGCGCTGTGGCTCATGCGTGTAATCCCGGCACTTTGGAAGGCCGAGGCGGGCAGATCACAAGGTCAGGAGTTCGAGTCCAGCCTGGCCAACATGGCAAAACCCTGTCTCTATGAAAAATACAAAAATTAGCGGGGGCCATGGTGGTGCATGCCTGTAATCCCAGCTACTCGGGAGACTGAAGCAGGAGAATCTCTTGAACTGGGAGGCAGAGGTTGCAGTGAGCCCAGATCACACCACTGTACTCCAGCCTGGGCCACAGAGCGAGACTCTGTCTCAAAAATAAAAAAAAAGAAAGAAAAAAGAAATCAGGTCTTTTTGTAGAGACAAGGCCAATTGCTTATTGCCTAAGCTGGTCTTGAACTCCTAGGGTCAAGAAGTCCTCCCCTCTCAGCCTCCCAAAGTGCTAGGATTACAAGCATGGGCTAATGCCCAACCATAAGTCAAAATGAGGCCATTACAGGTAGGCTTGAATTCAGTGTGACTGATGTCTGGAAAATAAGAGGTTTGGAGACAGAGACACACAGAGGAGAGACCATGTGAGAACACAGTGAGAAGGCACCCGTCTGCCAGCCAGAGAGAGGCCTCGGAAGAAATGAAACCTTCTGACACTTTGATTTTGGACTTGCCAGCCTCCAGAACTGTACGAAAACAAATGCATAGTTTAAACTGCCCAGTCTGTGATACTCGTTATAGTGGCCCAAGCAAGGTAATATACCTGGTGTATTTCATTTCACCCTTAAAACTACACCGATTATTTTTTTCTATCCTGCAGAAGAAATCAAGGCTCAGAGAAGTCATTTAATTTGACTCGGCTCTCACAGTGAGTGCTGAAGCCAGTCTTTGCGAGCAGGTTTCTATGGTCACAAAACTCAAATTTTTTTTTTTTTTTTTTTTTTTTACTGAGTCTTGCTCTATTGCCCAGACTAGAGTACAGTGGCTCGATCTCAGCTCACTGCAACCTCCACCTCCTGGGTTTAAGTGATTCTTATATCTCAGCCTCTCCAGTAGCTGAGATTACAGGTGCCTGCCACCACACCTGGCTAATTTTTGTATTTTTAGTAGATACAGGGTTTTACCATGTTGGTCAGGCTGGTCTTGAACTCCTCGCCTCAGGTGATCTGCCCACCTTGGCCTCCCAAAGTGTTGGGATTATAGGTGTGAGTCACTGCACCCAGCCAAAATGTGCATTCTTTTTACCATATCAAGTTGCCTAGTCAAATGAACATTTCACTAAAGATGTTTTAGAACCTAACTAGAAATAGTTACTAACTAGAGCAGTCATTGGAGGACCTTCCAGTAGGAGAGATGTCTTGCTAAATCTGCGGGGAGGCCGGATGCACTGATTTAATGCCTGGCCTGGCTTCAATCTCAGCCACAGCAAAGTCACATGGGCCTGATGACCACTGTCATGAGGAGAAAACTCCATCAAGTCCTCAATACATTTTTTTTTTTTAAACAGAATCTCAGTCTGGCCCAGGCTGGACTGCAGTGGCACAATCACAGCTCCCTGCAGCCTCAGTCTCCTGGGCTCAAGTAATCCTCCCACCTCAGCGTCCCCAGGAGCTGGGACCACAGGCAAATGTCACCACCCAGCTAATTTTTTTTTTTTCTTGGAGATGGAGCTTTGCTTTTGTCACCCAGGCTGCAGTGCAGTGGCATGATCTCGGCTCACTGCACCCTCTGCCTCCTGTGTTCAAGTGATTCTCCTGCCTCAGCCTCCTGAGTAGCTGGGATTACAGGCACATGCCACCATGCCCTGCTACATTTTGTATTTTTAGTAGAGACTGGGTTTCACCATGTTGCCCAGGCTGAATTCTCCAGCCTTAGCCTCCCAAAGTGCTTGGATTACAGGTATGAGCCACTGGGCCAAGCCTGTTATGTTTAATCTTTACCTCTGTTTTGTGAAGAATATACTATCCCCTTGCTGGAGAAAATAAAACTGGGCCTGGCTGAGTGCAGTGGCTCATACCTGTAATCCCAGAACTTTGGGAGGCCAAGGTGAGCAGATCATCTGAGATCAGGAATTCGAGATCAGCCTGACCAACATGGAGAAACCCCATCTCTATTAAAAATATAAAATTAGTCAGGCATGGTGGCACGCACCTGTAATCTCAGCTATTTGGGAGGCTGATGCAGGAGAATCGCTTGAACCTGAGAGGTGGAGGTTGTGGTAAGCCATTGCACTCTAGCCTGGGCAACAAGAAAAAAAACTCTGTCATTAAAAAAAAAAAAAAAAAAAAAGACTGGGCCTGGTAAAAGCTGTGTGACTCACCCAGGTAGGCACCAATGGGCCAGCAGAGCCTGGCTTCAAGCTCACCTGTGCTGGCCCCAGAGCTTGTTCCCCGTCCTCCACCCCGCCCTGCCTCACAGTGAGAGAAACCAAAGGACACTGAGGCATGCCGGTGTAGCTCATTCGGGCTGCCCCTAAAGACCCCAAGACGACCCTCAGAGGTTCCTGAAGCCCCTTCAGAGGGGAAACCGCTACAGGAGTCAAGGGAGCTCCAGGGATGTCATCCACGAAATTAAAACAAGTACCCAGCCAGGAATGGACCAAAGATGGTTCACAGAGAGCACATTCCTCCCCGCCCATCCCAGAGGCTCCTAACACCCTGCTCAGCCCCACGCCCTTGACTCACCCTCCAGCAGGTGGCCAGGGACTGTGGGAGTGGAGGCATCAACACTGACCTTGGCATTTGTTATCTCTGGCCCAGGTAGCCCCAGCATGAGGATGACCCTCATCATGTGGGTTTCTCTGTCATGTTCTTGAACATCTGGGTGTGTCTCAAGGACAGGCAGTGTGGGGCGGGGGACTGCAGGAGTTCCAGTTTGAGTGAGACACAAGCCCATGTTATCTCTCTGGGCCTAATCCTCCTCAACTCCATTAAGGGTACACTTGATCCTCTCTGAAGACCCTCAAAGCAAAATGATTTTGCATTCCATTCCCTGGATTTGAGCCCCAGCCAAGAGTGGCTCTACCATGCTTCCAGATGAGAACCAGAGTCAGACTTTATCACTCACTCATTTACCCATCCAGCTGATGTCTACTAAGTGCCGCTGTGCGCCTAATGTGGGAACAGCTACAGAAATTCCTTGGAGAAGCAGAAGACAGCACTTGATAACCGGGTTTATCAGACTGCTGAAGGTCTGCAGCTGGGAGACAAACACACTGTGGCTGGTGGGCTGAATGACTGACATCTCTCTTCTCCCACCTAGGTCCAAGTTCTGTTCCAGTTGGGCTCCACATGCACTTTGCACTGCCTGGAACCGTGTCTGGCACACAGCAGACAAAATAATGCACAAACACGGCAAGCCTAGAGAAGAACATTGTTTTCACATTCATACAGACATGGCTATCCCATGGAGGGTAAGTGCAATTTCACATGAATTTTTAAGATGAACCTTCAGGGCAAATTGCCTCAGTGGGTATGTTTGTAGAACATGGTCACTCTTCTGGGAGAGCTTATGGGACACCAGCACCAGACCAAACCAGTAAAGAAAAAGTGGCTCCACTCCACCCCCATTATCTCACTGCTGGGCACCCCTCTGGCCAGCCCATCTGCTTCCTATGGGGATGTTGGGAACTGTGGAGGCCAGAACCAGATTGGGCGTCCAGGCACACATGACCCCACCAGCAGTCCTGCCCTGACCCTCTCGGTTGAGCTGGGAAAGATTGGAATTTCCTGAAGGTTTTCTTTTTTTTTTTTTTTTTTTTTTTTGAGACGGAGTTTCGCTCTTGTTACCCAGGCTGGAGTGCAATGGCGCAATCTCGGCTCACCGCAACCTCCACCTCCTGGGTTCAGGCAATTCTCCTGCTTCAACCTCCTGAGTAGCTGGGATTACAGGCACGCGCCACCATGCCCAGCTAATTTTTTGTATTTTTAGTAGAGACGGGGTTTCGCTGTATTGACCAGGATGGTCTCGATCTCTTGACCTCATGATCCACCCGCCTCGGCCTCCCAAAGTGCTGGGATTACAGGCTTGAGCCACCGCGCCGGGCCCTGAAGAAGGTTTTCTAGAGAAGTGAAATTAAGAAGAGAGAGAACAGCTGGCCCCAGAACCCTAACCAGTACAGGAACTATCTTTAGCCTGGAGAGACCTGGTTGGGGCAGATGACATCTCGTGAGACAAAAGTCAGCTCTGAGCTTGCAGAGCATGAGGGAGGCTGTTGGGGGGACAGGGAAGAAATGTGTTGTTTTTGCCACTGAAAGGAATGGAGAGAAATCTGGGGATGATGGGGAGAGGGAACCAAAGAGATGGGAAGGTCAGGATGAAATGAAATCTAGCCTGGAAGGGTCACCAAAGAACGTTTCCTGAAAGGCGATGTCTGTGTTCTGGATGCATTTCTACAAAGAAATCCCTCCTCTGTCTCTTGGTCACTCCCTCCTCATCACCTACCCCTAAACCTCCAAAAAAGTCTGAACTCACCGTGATTCCAGTGTACATAGAAATCAAGCAAGAGGCTTAATTTTACAGCTGGATCAAGCATGCCCAAGAGACAGACAAGCAGAAAGAATCCTCAGAGAGAAGACATCAAAGCGTGTTTGAAAGACAAACACAACCTCCTCCACCAGCACTTCCTTCTTTGCCTGGAGGCTTGCAGACATCTTAGGGACAGCTTTAAGCCACCAGGCACCATGAAAACAAAAGGGTTTTGTCTATTTTAACCTAGATCTAAAAGAAGGAAAGGCCACAGATGGAAACCCAAAGCCCAAGCATGAAAAGAGAAAAGGATAAAAGGGATAAACGAATAGAGCACAGTTATTTTTGTATTAATTAACTTAGGGCTGTCTTAGACACACAGACCCTGCTTCCTTTCCTGTCCCGGTCTTGAGCTAATGCGCTGATTCATCACAAAGGCTTGGGCAAAGCTCGGTCTCCACCCTTGGCTCCAGACCTGCATCTGGCCCAGTGCCATAGCCACTCTGACGGCAGGTCCAGCCAAGCTCCCACCCCGCCTCCCTATGCCAGCTCCCCTCTGTTGGCAGCAGTCTCCATTCTCTGACAGGCTCATCCCCCTGCAACCCCAACCCCAGCTGACCTTCCAGGAAGCTCCAGTTCCAGTTCTTCTTTTTTTTTTTTTTTTTTT